TGCAGGCCAATTTCTACGCATTAGAAAGCAATTTGCAATTAGCTGGGTTAGCAGCTGTGACCAAGTACTTTACAAAACACCAGTTTGGCGCCGCACACTAATGAGTATTTGAGACAGAGGCAGAGTTTTAGCGATATGAAGCGAAGCAGCTGAAACTTTGATTTAAACCTCGCCTATCTTGGCGCACGCCCCGCCCACCGTGAGCATGTGGTTTCCTCCACCGGGATCGTATTTCCCAGCCCTTTTGCTGGAAAATTATGTTATTTTTTGGATCATTAGCTGACCTTAAATAATGTAGACATTCTTAATCTCTACTTCTTTCTACTATAATGCTAGGTCGTCTGATAGTTTAACACATTCACGACGGCGCCCTTTTTCCCTTTTTGGTGGAACATGCGCGATTTTGCTTCCTCCTCACATCAAATCGTGGTGGAATTTGTATAGTCAATGAACAAAACATAGATAGCACAAAGTAGTTTTAGTAATCTATGTTCTGATATCAAAAAATATGCAAAAAAACTTTTTCCGATAAATGGTTGATAGGCGACTAGTAGCTGGCAGCCCATATGGGCTGCCGCCGGCGCGGTGTGCTATGGTGAGTTGTGAATATCTTCTTGGCAGCCCACTCAATAGGGGGGCTGCCCCTTCCCTTCCCTCCGCGGTTTCTGTCATCTCATTCGCTTACCTTTATCTGAAACCAGTAGGTATTTTGGCTTCCGGCACTGTCTAGCTCGGCGTTCCGCCCATCATGAGCGAAGCTGCGCTTATTCATATGGGTTTACGATATCTAGGTTAGAGCGTCACCCATCCCCAGCTTGAGCCAGCCTTTTCAAGTTGTTCTTAAGGTGATGCCAAACAGATAGACAGGACTCACATCTCATCTGGACACTTTTCCGGCTGTGGTGGACGGTTACCCTGTTCGACATAGGAGATCATATCGATTGGTTGTACGGTTGGATACGGTACGTCACCGAGCGAGAAAATCTCGAAAAGTAGAATAGCGAATGCCCATCTGAATTCAATGACTTCAAAGTGGCAAGCTGCTGACAGACGTCACATTTGACTTACACATCAGTTTTTTCGGAAAACTCATAGAATTTGAGTGCTTCCAGTGCCATGGATTTGAACGGTAGACGTCCTCCCCGGGCTGTGTAGAGCGCCGAGTCAGCATAACGACCCAGACCGAAGTCACTAACCTAAACGAAAGCTTTATAGGTTTCGCAGGCCCCGAGTTCGTGAGGACTCAAGTGGACAGGCCTCCAAGGTCGTAGGGGTTCTTATACAGTTGAAGATTGGAGAAAACTTCTGAAATGAAGATTCCTCACCTTAGCGACGAGATATTTGGTGATTAGAACGTTACGGGCAGCAACATCGCGATGAATGAAGTTTTTCGAAGAGAGGTACGTCTAGAACAGTTATCGATTAATTAGAAAAAAAAACCCTATGATGTTGAATTGTTAAAGATGTCTATCCCACTGAAAACGTCTCCGACCTCACACGAATTTACGGAAGCAGTCAGCAGTGTACTTGGTTCATGC